GTAAAAGAGCCAACATTCCATGTCCCAAAACGCAATCTAGCACCCTACCTTTCTCTTCTTCACACCAGGTCAACCCCCACCATGCCCTTTCATATTTATCACCATCCACGGGCATTGGAGTGGCGCGTCGCTTCCGGGCGACGACCTAGCAGCCTTAGCATTCTTATCACCACACCCAGGCCTATGAAGTGTAGCGCGCCCTTGCTCGTTTGACACCACCCCCAACCAGAGGGATGACGCGTCGCTTACGGGCGATGACCTAGCTGTAGTGATATTCATATTTCGATTCATGTCATGCGATGTGACTAAGTGATACTACAGCCCGTCACGCGCCTACCAGAGCACTGTCCTCCTTTATCCTGGCTTGGGACAGACATGATACTAAAAAATGATCTCATGGCGGAGTTAATTACCTAAATTATCTAAACATGCAAAATTTGCAATGAATTAGCCAAATGATTATTTTAAAATGAGTGTTTGCATATGTTCTATTGGTTGTAGTTTGGATGTTGGATTATGGAGTTGTTTCAAACTTTCGATTTGTTTACGTTTTAAGTTGTTTCTCAACACAGTGTATAAGCGTAAAAGTGGAAGTAGACTATAAAGAAATTCAATTTTATTAGTATTTAGAACTTTGATGTGAGTAATGCTACGTAAGGTGGTGGGATTTTAATCGCATTAATCACATGAGTCTCAAACTTTTGGTGCTGTGTACAAGCATTAGTTTATTTATAGCATGTCTCTATAATGCATGTATTTGTGGTGAAGTGCTTTTTTGTATTTTCAAAGTGGAATGCCAATTTGAGAGAGGTTTAGGCCTTTGTCTCCCTCTCTTCATTGTACCCTCATCGATACTTCTAATATCATCGTAAATGTTCCTCGTCATTTACCTCACTGCTTTTTGTGGTTTGCTTATCTTTCTTATGTTATTTTTATCTTATCCATTTTATCTTACCTTCTCTTTTTATTTTTGTTATCTTTCTTCTCTTTTTTGCTCTGATACCTCATGTGAGCCGACCCCAATTTTTTTTGGGAATAAGGCTTGAATGTTGTTATCGTTAGAACTTGGATACCCATCAAAAATTTCATTGTAGTATAATATAATTGTTTAACATCAGTATAAAATAGTAATGAAAAATAAAATGTGTCGTAATCTTAATGTGTTGAGCAACTTATGTGTGAACAACATACTCCGTATTAATTACACATGCATGATTAATATTCTTGATTCTTCTTATACTATGTCAGTGAATCTTACACACAATTGAATTTGGTACTTTATTTTAACATTGTTTTCTAAACCCGGTAAGCAAACCACTAAAATCAGTGGGGTAAATGTCGGGGAACATTTACCAGGATATTAGAAGTACCGAGTGAGGGTACAATGAAGAGAGGGGGACAAAGGCCTAAACCTCCCTCAAAGTGGCATTCCACTACGAAAATACAGAAACACACTTAACCAAAAATACATGCATTATAGAGAGATATGCTATAAATAAACTAATGTTTGTATAAAGCACCAAAAGTTTAAGATTCATGCAATTAAAATCCCACCTTACGAAGCAATACTCACATGCACACATAGGGAATTCCTTCAGCGTCCAATTTAATTGCACCAACTACCTCAGCTGGAAGTTGAGTTCCATCCTTGAAGAACCTATCGTCTGATATTGAAGTTTGGGAAAGAAGAATTGTTGCGGTATTCGTTTGTTTATGAATCGGCCTGAACGAAAGAACCATTTTCTGCTTGCACTTGGGCTTCGCGTTCTCTATCATTTTCTGATAATGTTTGGAAGTGATATCTATTTTTCCATCATTTGCAATGGAGCCAAAGATTCATTATTTTTTGGCTTGAGATTATGATGGAATAAAGCAAAATTGCTCACTAAACTGTCTGCGCTTCTTTGTTATGGAGCAGTAGTCAGTCCATGCAATTTTGGACGCGATTTTCACTATGGATCATCCGGAAATAGTCTCTCTGTGCTTTAGTACAGGGGTAAGACTGCGTACATCTGACCCCCCTACCCCACAGTAGGTGGGAGCCTTTGCGGCACTGGGGTAAATGAAAATGAAATGAAAATGAAATGTTTGGAAGTGATATCCATCTCCACGGATCTCTAATCCAGATTATAACACCACATAATAGTCTTGTTTAAAACTTCCAACTGATCAGCCGTCTCAAGGGAAATAAAAGATGCCTTGATCACCTCAGCACGATGGTTCCTAAGTATAACCCCACTTGAGATTCTATTTTCCCTTCTGAGCAGAGCCCAATTTAGCATAGCGGACTGCTCTCCCGATTAACTCCATCTTTGAACACACAGCCTTTTAATGAAAGTGTGTGCCCGAATAAGACCTACATGCCTTAAAACCGCAGCTTCCCTTAGTCATTTCTGACTTATGAGCCATGCACCATGCCAACATATATTGCCTGATCTGGTTAATAATTCTGCTATCATCAAACTTCTCGTTTCCCCAGGTAGCTGAGCAGTAAAACTTCCATAAAAACCATGTAATAACTCCCGGTAGTACTGCTATGTAATTGCCATCCATTGTTTTCCTATTACTCTTAAACCACCATCTGAAGCCACCTTGATTAAGCGTAGATTCATTCTTTCAATCTCCCAGTAGTAAACAAGCAAAATGCTTCCAAACTTTTGCTGCGTGACTACATTTGTAAAGTACATGATTCTCTGATGCATCATCGTTTCTACAGAATGGACATATAGATGGGAAAACCGCTGCAAATCTTACTAGATTAGCCGGGAAAGGGAAACATCCATACCATAACCTCCAAAGAAAGATGCTAACTTTGACTGACTGTTTAGAGTGCCGAATAAAGGATAATGAAAGGGGCTATCCAGGACTCTTATGCAAAGCTTCATAGGCTGATCTCACTGAAAAACCACCCTTCGCGGGAAGCCATTGAAGTTCGTTATTCTCTCTATTAACCAACTTTTCTGATTCCAAGTTGTTTTCAGTTAGCCCTGTCCAAATATGCGAATCTGTGGGCTTAATATCCACCGGAGTTCTATTGTGATATCTCATGTGCATAAATTCAGCCCATAGAGTCTTCCTTTCTTGATAATTCCACCACATTTTCATGGAAAACAATTTTTAAATCCCCGTGAAGGATGTGATACCAACTCCCCCAGCTCCTTTGGTCTACACAATTTTTTAAATGCAAAATTACATAAATATGAAGTTTAAAGAGTATAATACAGAAGCACAACCAAAAAGGATATTCAAATTCTAAAAGGTTGGATATTGATTTTGTATGTTTGGAAGTGCCTTTTAAAAGGAGACAACCGACATTGGAAGTTTGGAATCAAATAGTCTGGGGATATAAACTCCTAATAACTTAATGATACAAATGAACATGAACTACAATGTATTTGAAGTACAAGAGGACTTTTGTTCCAGGCAGCGTATAACTGGTAAGTAAAGTGGAGAGATGTGATAGAGGTATGGGATGAAAGTTAAATATGAATTGAGTATCCCAGGCAGCGTATAACTGGTAAGTAATAGCAATGTTTGAAGTGCGAACAGTTGCAAGGGGAAAAATAAACTATGAAACATATAAACAAGGCTAGTTTTTCCGACGCAGAACACATGTAAATATATGTTCAGGTCTTTGCAGCCTCTTATTTGACTTTGAAAAAAAAAACACATGACTGTCTCAAATGTACAATCAATTGGCAAATCTTTTCGTTGTAATTACGTGAAAACTGCTAGGAATTTTACAGACTACTATACACTTTTTGGTTGAAAAAATCGGCATTATATACTAATTTTGTAATTTCATTGAGCATTTTTGAAAAGTATTTATTTATAAGTAATGAAAAACGCCAGTTTTTATGTAAGATCGATTTGTAAGATAACTGCTTGTCTATCTGCAGATGGTATTCTCCTTATTTGTAGGACTGTACCTATGAATAACATGACTAGTGAGAAAAATGTGAAATTCACAGTGTATTGGATGAAAGGGAAAATGTTGTTAAAGGAAGTAATCAGCATCGGTTTATTTTTATTTTTTATAGTAGTGCAATGTAATATGTTTCCTCTGTTTATTAATTATGAACTATGAACCTGGAAATTGTTTTTTTTTGTTATATAATTGAGCCCATTTTTTTCAGCAATTTATATGTTCCTTTTGGATGCTAAGCAAGTGTAGTTACACTCTACTAGAGAAGTATACATTCAGAAGCCGTTTTAGAGGCATCTTGACGAACAGTATGGAGGCATTAGTTAATGGCATTGTTTAAGGGCATTTTGAAATGCAAAAAGGTTGTAAACTGAAAAAATATATGCTTATTAACAGTTATTATGATTAAACTTGCACAACCGGATTAGAATCACAGTTTTAAACTTAAACGTGATTCACTGGTATGCAAATAATGTTAGAGTACAAAGCAATTAAGGTAAATTGTGTTTGTTGGTTGTGAACAACAATTGTGAAATAGAACAAAAAATTGCATCTGGTTCCTGAAGTGTACGATAATGTTCAGCCATGTGTGCAGTCGTGCAGATGTGTCGAACAGATAATGAAGTCATTTAGAATTTAGTAAGTGCATATCATGAGAATTATGCAGAAGAAGAAGTAAATAATTGAATAATGGAGGTGATAGGAAATACCTTATTATTGGCAGAAAGAAAGATGAAAACATGAATGAAGATATTAGACCATCTGCCCTCAAAGTATATGTGTTAACAACCTTCATTGGTGGTTGCTGCAGCCTTGGCGGTTTATGAAGGTTTAATAGCCGACTAGCCGTAAAGGAGGTTTGATTAGGCGTGTATAACTTAAGAGACCTGTCAAGGTGTTAATTTTAAATGCTTCCGTTGACGGAGCCGGCTAACATATGTTGGCTTTTATTATATAAGTAGAGATACAATAATAACATCCTAGAGCATATTCCTAAAATATTCTAAAGCATATTCTAATATCTTTCACATTCAGTGCTTATAAAAAGAAGTTTGTTACTGATGATATCATGCAGGACCCCTGTTTCCGAGATTATTCTGGATGAAATAACTTATAATAATGATGCTCTCTCATTTTTTCAGGTTCTTATTTCACACCTATCAGTCACTATGCAGCCCTACTTTCTTTATTGATGATGTCATGCTGTTGATTCCAGCGTCCTAATCCAATTTTATTTCAGCATAAATTAGTCACTGGTTGGGCTATTGAGTTCACATGTACTGATTACAGTGTATCAAAATCCTTACAGATATTTGATGAGCCCGAACAGAAGCTAAAGTTAATTGTCCATTATCTCCAGAAGTACATCCCCAAGGTAAATTGCATCCTAATTAACTATAGTGCTCAATTCGCATTTCATGATCTTCTCTCATACTACGTATATCATAGTGAAATGTTTGTACTTTGTACACATTCGTCCTTTGCTCTCTTTACATGCAGAAAGAAATAGATTGTTCAGACAACCCTGGATTGTGGGATTATTTTTTGTGAGGAACAATTATTATGTACAAGTGCATTTTGGTTTCATAGTAATTTCACCAAGGGAAACTCACTGTCTGACCTGCAAATGTTTGACATTATGTAAACTGTGATCTATCTTTGTAGTTTTTTTGGGTAAACTTAGTCCCTCACTCCCTCATATGTGGTAACTTAGATGCCATTACACCCCCTCATTTAAACCACTGTGTACACCATTAAATATTAGAGCTTAGCAACATCATGTTGTCAAGAATGCCCTCAGTAACCTCTAATAATATTAATATGGTGATTTTAAGTTTTTAACTAGAGAGACTAATTGTATACAACAATAACAACATTCAAGCCTTAATCCCACAAAAATTTGGGGTATCGGTCCATGATATCAGAGCCAAAAAGAAAAGAAAAATAAGAAGAATAATAAATTGAGTAAACAATAAAGATAAATTAAAGATAAAAAGGATAACATAAAGATAAATATAAGATAACAATAACATAAGCACACAAGAAAGATAAAAGATAAAAAGATAAAAGAGCATAAGAAAGATAGAAGATAAAAATAACATAAGAACATAGAAAGATAAAGAAGATTAACGATAAAAGAAAGAGAGAGAAAAGATAGAAAAGAGATCAATTGTCCACACGAATGTACGCCTTCCACTTTGCTCTCTCCAAAGTCATACTCTCATCCAACCCAAGAAGATGCATAGAAGTTTTTGATTCCTTTAATCTAAGTGTATTTGCTTCTCCCTCTCCCTCTCCTCCTCGCATCTTCTCCCCACCTCTCAATTCGTCTAACAGGTGCATCATTCGGTCTTCTGCGCACATGACCAAACCACCGCAATCGAGACTCTTGCATCTTATCTTCTATAGGTGTTACTCCCATTTTTTATCTGAATATCTCATTCCTCAAACGATTTTTTCATGTATGTTCACACATCCAATGCAAGTCCAATTCATTTACCTTTTGTTGTTTCTCCGAATCATGTTGAAGAAACGTGTTAGCCACTCAATGCATTTCTTTCTCAAACTTCTATCGGTATGCCATTGCCATTTGAGCCCACCGCTTTCTCAAAGCCTTTTTAACTTTTGTCATTTGGATCCTTCTCACAAAGTCCCAATTTACCATACACTCTAGTATAGTAAGATCATCAATATCTTGCACTTTTTCCCGTTAAATAGGGTATCAAAGTATGACCTCTACCTCTCTTTCATTTCCTCGTCCTCCATTAATACCCTTTGATCGACATCCTTCACACCTTAATTTTTCCAATATCTTGAGTCCTACGATCACGAAGGCGACCGAGTATGTAAATATCTTTTTCTGCTTCCTTAGAGTCCAATTTTACACACAATTCCTTGTTCACTTTCCCTCTTGCTTCCTTTACAACTTTCTTTGCTTTTCTTCTAGCCTCCTTGTACTCCTCTATGTTCTCATTGCTCAACCTTTGCCCAACTTTTTGTAGCATTCCCTTTTGGTGCATATTGATTGTTTCACGCCATCATTCCACCCAGATGTGTCCTTTGGTGACAGACATCCTTTTAGATTTGTTAACGTTAAGTCCCGAATGACCCGAAGACCCAACACTAACCTTGGATCTAGGGTTGGATCGCTACAGTAACGTGTATAAAAGAAATATAAAAACTGATAGATTCACGCAAATAGTCTTGCTTGTATTAACGCAGTAATAACGATTACACGGAAATGGCCGAACGGTAGTTACGGTCCAAAGGCTAATACAAGAGCTAGAATGCAATATAAGCTTGTGAGTAAACAAATAGTAACCCTTACTATGAATTAAATGCTGCTATTTATACTAGATGGAGGTATGTGGGGGGTATGGGGTGCTCTAATATGGTTGGTTGCATCCCATGCCTTGATGCCTCCATGATCCAGCATTTACTGCAGTCGGTCACTTAAGTAACTCTCATTCGAGATTAAGCCCAGCTAAGCCATCAATCAGGGTAAACTTATTACCCAAGTGTTAATTATACCCCGTTCGAGATGTGCCGAACGGCGCTTGCTGTTCGGGCCTGATGATTTTCCCCGGACCTTCCCTTGCGTCTGGGCTTCAGGGATATTTTGGGCCGCCGTATTGGGCCGGACCTTAATATCCCATCATAAGTCCCCCACTTCCGATGTTCCGAGCGTGCTCGGGACATAAGGAAGTAGAAAAAGTAATCTTTCCGCCGTTTGGTGTGACCGGACAGTGCTTTCTGCCCGTGTTTGCCTGCCCCTGACATGACGGTTCGAAGGTCTTTGGCGGCTGTCGCTTGTATTCTCCATGTAATTGTCATGATTACCTGACGTTTCGCCTCCGTGCGACACGTGTCCCTTGGAGTGTTCTTCGTGACGTGTCCCCCTGGGATTGGTCCGCGAATCGGCGCTTTTAGGTTATAAGTGTGTCTTTGGGCCTTTGGTCCTGGATTTCTGATTTTTGCATCTTCGTTCAAGTGCTCTGCCTTCTTCCCAAATCCTTAATTTCCCAGGCTCGCTCAGGTAATCATCCTTTGCTTTCTGCTTTTTCTTCCAGTTCCGCACAAATGTCAATAAGTTCTAGTTCTTCTGACCCCTCAATTATCAAATTGGGTCGGAATTCTGAGATTAACACCGATGTTGGTGATACAGCGGGCACTAGTGCCGCCATGGAGAATGTGGCCGAAGATCCCCCTTCCACTAGTGGTTCTGAGGATGCCAAACCCGGAAGTTCCTCCTATGACGCATCTAGTAGTGATTCCGACGACGCCGAGTCTGACGATGATATGGCGGTATCAGGAATGTATTCTATTCAATATATTGTACCTAACTAACTAACTACTGTTAGTACTATCTCGTGTGTTAGTTAGCTGTTAGCAATACATTTCCTTGTCTATAAATACTCTGTAAATCTGAACAATCATGATCAATAATATTCCTATCTTTGTTCTATCTTTCTGTTGCTCTCTGATTATCAATATGGTATCTAGAGCTTGAGTTTTTCGATCCTGGCACCATCGTCAACAACCTCCTCCACCACCTCTTCCGCCGGACATACTCCATTTCCGGTGAGTTTCTCACATCCGCTTCCTCTTAAACTTGATTCGAACAATTTTCTGTTCTGGAAACATCACGTTGAATCCATCATCCGTGCTCACAAACTTCTGAAATACGTTATTGATCCTGACATACCTCCGCGCTATCTCAACAGTCAACATGAAGCTGAAGGTACTATCAATGAAACGTTTGTTACCTGAAGGTACTATCAATGAAACGTTTGTTACCTGGGAACAGCAGGACCAAATGCTCTTTTCATGGCTTCTATCGTCATTATCTGAGAGTCTACATGCTCGAGTGATTCATTGCACTCGTTCGTATCAGTTGTGGGATGAACTGCACAAATTTTTTCAATCTAATATCATTGCGAAGGCACGTCAACTCAAATCGGAGCTATATTCTGCTGTCAAAGGTGAACGATCTATATCTGAATATCTTCTCAAAATTCAGACTATTACGGATAGTTTACTGTCCATCGGCGAACCAATCTCAGTCAAGGATCATATCAATGTGGTCCTTGAAGGCTTACCTGAGGAATATGAGTCTCTTGTTTCCTCGATCTCTGCTCGCAGTGCTTTAGATCCAGCTACATATTCTGAAGTTGAGTCTCTACTCCTTTCGAAGGAACTGTGACTTCGTAAGCTGCGTGATTCATCGCAAACATCTCAGTCTACTCTCTTCTCAGCCAATGTTGCTCGTCTCGAAGATCTATCCCTCAATAGTTCTCAGCAACAAACTTCGCAGGAAAGTTCAGTTCAATTTGCTCAATTTGATAATGCGCAACGTGGTGGTAATCAATTTCGAGGAAGAGGGCGCAATTCTCATTCGCGTGGTGCTTCGTGAGGAGGAGGTCGCTTTGGAGGTCGCTCTTCAGTTGTTTGCCAGGTCTGTGGCAAACCAGGTCACAATGCTCTCATGTGCTATCATCGTTTCAATCCTAATTATCATACTTCACAACAAACTTCCAACTATTCTCCATATCCTATGCCTCGTCCACCTCCACTTGCACCCCTACCTATTGCACCTCAACCAATGATTTCATATCACCAATCCTCTTCTCATCCTGCACATACTGAAACTTCATCATCAAACTGGCCACCACAGTATCCTTCTTCTAGCCATCCTCCATCAGTTGCGTGGGCATATGCAAACTCTTCCATACTTGGACCTGCACCTAATCAGCCTCCATCCTCTATTCAGCCCTGGTTCCCTGATTCTGGTGCCACACACCATGTCACTGCAGATCCAACAAATATTCAACATCATGAGCCAACAGCTATGCCTACTGAAAAACTCTTTATGGGAAATGGACAAGGTTTGGCTATTAAGTCTACTGGTTATTCCTCATTTCTATCACCTTACAATTCTTCATTTCCTCTTACTCTCAAAAATACTCTATGTTCCTACAATAACTAAAAACGTTGTTAGTGTCAGTAAGTTTGCTAAGGACAATCATGTATTCTTTGAATTCTATCCTTATGAATGTTTTGTCAAATCTCAGGGTTCTAAACAGGTTCTTATGCATGGTAGGCTTGGCAGTGATGGTCTTTACACATTTGATTACTTTCCAGCTCTTGCTTCAGTTCCAGATGTTCCAGTTTGTCATCCCAGTCAAAAATCTACTTCTAGTTATAGTCACTCAACTAGTTGTAATGTTGCTTCTTCCAGTTGCAATAATCAAGTTACTTGTAATGAGTCTGTGAACAGTTTGTCTACTTTACCTTCTAGTAGCACTAATAATTGTACTCTTTGACATTTTAGACTTGGTCATCCTCATTTTGAGGCTTTAAAGTCTATTCTCAAACAATGTAATGTTTTCTATCCTTCTAAAAATGAAATCAATTTCTGTTCTGCATGTTGTCCTGGCAAAGCACATCGTTTACCATCTCACAGCTCTACTACTACTTTCATTTCACCTTTTGAACTTGTTTTCACTGACTTAAGGGGACCAGCCCCAATTTCTTCATTTGATGGGTATTCTTTACTATATATCTTTCATTGATGCTTATACAAGATACACATGCATATACTTTCTCAAAAGCAAATCTGAAGCCTTTTCAGCTTTCAAAAATTTCTATACCTATGTCCATACTCAATTTTCTACTCCTATAAAATCTGTACAATCTGATTGGGAAGGTGAATTCAGGCCTTTTACTTCATTTCTCACTGAAAAAGGCATAACTCACAGACTGATTTGTCCTCATACTCACCATCAAAATGGTGTATTTGAAAGAAAACACAGATCTATTGTTGAAAAAGGTCTAAGTCTATTAGCCCATTCCTCTCTTCCTTTCAAATTTTGGGATGCTGCCTTTGCTACAACAGTTCATCTTATCAATAGAACACCCTCAACTTCTATCTCTAATCAAGTTCCTTATACTAAACTCTACAACTCTGTTCCAGATTACAACTTTTTAAAGGTCTTTGGATGCTCCTGCTATCCTTTTATCAGACCATATAACAAACACAAATTTCAATTTCATTCTGAGGAATGTATCTTTTTAGGATATTCTCCTCAGCACAAAGGCTATAAATGCTTAGCTTCTTCTGGAAAAGTATATATATCTAAGGATGTTACCTATGATGAGTTTAAATTTCCTTATACTTATCTGTTTCCTCCACATAAAACTTCCACTCAATCCAATCAGTCTACAAACACACCTTTAACAGTTCTACATACCCCACCCTCTTCATCTATTACTATCTCAGACTCATCTTCTCTTTCAGTCTCTCAACACAATACTAATACTCAGTCTCAGTCTTCTAATTCCAATTCTGAATCATCTAACTCTAATTCTAATTCCTCTCATTCTACCTCTGAGTCATCTCAATGTACTTCTGAGTCATCTAGCTTTATCTCTCAACCTATCATCACTGCTCTTATCTCTCTAGTTCCCTCTTCCAATGTTCATCATATGAACATTAGAGCTAAATCTGGTATAGTAAAACCTAGGCTTAATCCAACCTTGCTCCTAGCTCATACTGAGCCAACATCAGTTAGGCAGGCTCTTGACTCACCTGAATGGTTTCAGGCTATGCAGACAGAATATAATGCTTTGATTACCAACCAAACCTGGACTCTTACTACTTTGCCTCCTGATAAACATGCAATTGGGTGCAAATGGGTGTTTAGATTAAAAGAAAATCCTGATGGTACTCTTAATAAATTCAAAGCCAGATTAGTTGCCAAAGGTTTTCATCAACAATTTGGTTTTGATTTCAGTGAAACATTCTCTCCGGTGGTCAAACCTATAACTATCAGAATTCTTTTATCTCTTGCCATTTCTAATTCTTGGACTATACAACAACTTGATGTTCATAATGCCTTCTTAAATGGTGATCTTCAAGAAGAAGTATACATGGTACAGCCCCCAGGTTTTCAATCTTCTGACAAATCTTTGGTCTGCAAGCTTAATAAAGCTATCTATGGTTTACAACAAGCTCCCAGAGCTTGGTTTCTTAAACTTACTTCAGCCTTATACTCCTTTGGCTTCAAACAGTCTAAATGTGATGCCTTATTACTATTCTATCTTTCTAGTACTATTCAGATTTATGTGTTGATCTATGTTGATGACATTCTTGTTGTTGGAAATAACACTCCTGCTATTCAGCATCTTATTCAAAAATTAGACTCCAACTTCTCACTAAAGCATTTTGGGGAGCTTGACTATTTTCTCGGGATTGAAACTCAAAAACTTTCTGATGGCAGCCTCCATTTCTCACAAACAAAATATATCAAGGATCTTTTGGAAAAAGCTGGCATGAAAGATTCTAAAGGCAGTATAACACCCATGCTTAGTAGTTGTAAACTTTTAAAAGAAGGATGCAACTATGTCACTGATGCTACACACTACAGATCTATTGTAGGTGCTCTACAGTATGTTACTCTAACCAGGCCAGAAATTAGCTATGTTTACAAAGTGTGTCAGTTTATGGCATCTCCTTTAGAAGATCACTGGAAGGCAGTGAAAAGAATATTAAGATACCTCTCTGGTACACTTAAACATGGTCTTCTTCTACAACCAATTCTTTCCAGGTCTCCTATCCAACTAAGTGCATTTTGTGATGCTGATTGGGCCTCAGATCCCAATGACAGAACGTCAACATCTGGTTCTTGTGTTTTCTTAGGACCTAACCTTATTTCCTGGTGGTCAAGAAAACAACTATGTGTAGCCAGGTCTTCAGCTGAAGCTGAACACAGAAGTCTAGCTGACACTGCAGCAGAACTTTTGTGGATTCAGGAGATTAAAGTTCCATACTCTATTCCTCAAATCTACTGTGATAACCTAAGTGTTGTTCATCTTGCTCATAATCCTGTTTTTCATTCAAGAATAAAACATATGGAACTTGATCTCTACTTTGTCAGAGAAAAGATTCTGCATAAAACACTTCAAGTACAGCACATACCTGGTCCTTATCAAGTTACAGATGTGCTGACTAAACCACTCTCAGCATCCAGATTTACAGAGTTGAAGAACAAACTCAATGTGATTGAGTTTTCACACAAATCACACTAAATTTGAGGGGGGAATATCACACTAAACTGAAACCCCCAGTTTAGCTAGTTCTCCAAGTCGTCCGTACTAAACAATAGTCAATTTGGGTATTATTAGCTCCACTTTTATAGGTCACAAGGTGAGAGTCTGTTTTGTTGAGCCAACTCTTCATTACAGCCAATTCATATATCGAGACAAATCTAGATTGTTCTTCCCCGCTTCATTTCTAGTGCCAAAACCATGTGAACCATGGATTCTCTCAAAACCATAATGACTTGGGCCCACATGCCCGTTGAGGTCACCTCCTATGACCACCTTCTCTCCCTTGGCACTCGTCGCACCACTTCCTCAAGATCTTCCCGAAATTGTTGAGTGATAGATGCATCCGATCTCATTTGTGGTGCATAGGCACTTACCACCGACATGATCTCATCTCCTATTACTAACTTAATGCTCATGATGCGGTCGTTCTTGCTAAAGACTTCCACCACACCCTCAACATAATCACGCACCACCATAATGCCTACTCCATTTCTGTTCTTCTCTCTCCCCAAATACCACAACTTAAAACCTCCGGGATTTATCTCACGTGTCTTTTCTCCAACCCACTTAGTTTCTTGCACGCACATTTTAGTATTATACTGATATTCCTCCTCCTCATAACATCAGTTATCTTAGATGATCTTCCCATAAGAGAGCCAACATTCCACGTCCCAAAGCGCAATCTAGCACCCTGCCTTCTCTTCTTCACACCACATCGATCCTCACCATGCCCTTGCATATTTGACACCATCCTCGAGCTTTGGAGTGGTGCGTCATTTCCGGGCGACGACCTAGCAACCTTAACATTCTTATCATTAGGTCTATTAAGTGTAGTGCGCCCTTGCATATTTGACACCACCCCCAGACAGAGGGATGATGCGTCACTTACGGGCGACGACCTTGTATAACGAGATTCTTATTTCAATTCATGTTATGTGATGTGACTAAGTGATACTGTTGGTCGTCACGCGCCTATCACAACACTCACCTCCTTTATCCTGGCTTGGGATATGCATGATACCAAAAATAATCTCATAGCGGAGTTAGGGGGACTAGTTGCATCTCTAAAACAAATATAGTGGAGTGGCCACAACATTTACACTATGGGATTAAATGTGCAATCTTTCCTTTTCAAAGGGAGCATTATTTCTTTTTTACTTGTGAGACTTGGTCTAGGATCTCTCTTTGTGATTAGGCAATTACCATCTACTTTTTTATGACCCATAAGTCGAACTCCTCCTCTAAGGGTTCATCTCAACAATTAGTGGATTCACAGCCTGCATAAGCTCCTCTGTTGTTTTCTTTTGTATCATGTATTTATATCTTATCACGCAGACTTCTGCTCGCACAAGGTCAAATAATAGCACAACAAATGATGCAACATTTGAGAGTATTTTGAAGTGCTTTTCAAGTGGAAACAGTACAAAAAATATCATAAAGAAAATCAACGGCGAGGTCGCACAGTTGCTTCTAGGACATGGGTTTGAGGTAAATTGTTATTTCTTGGACTTCTTTTGTTTCTTTTGGAATGTATTCAGAGTATGCCTATTGCGTGCCCCCATGCCATTATAATCTGTATCACTATGAGAAAACGTTTTGGTAGATGTATGACTAATTTGCTGATATAGTTGGGCTGAATTGTGTAAACACATTTAGAATAAGTTAAAGGAAACAATCTCTAAAAGATGAGGGTATAAGTGTCAAGTAAGTTGGTGGTTCCTTGAGTATTAATCTAAGTAATAAAGGTGATGAAGTCTTTATGGTGCTGGATTTTTTTTTACTTTTTTTATCCCTTGGGGTCGGGGGAGGGAGGCTGGGGGCCTGAGATAAATTGGGATCAAACTCACTCCATTGGGTATTAAATCCGGGACCTCCCATAAGGGAGAGTGAGTCGGTGACAAGTTGAGCTGAACCACTTCCTCTCTTTATGGTGTTGGATAGTTCAACAGTTATCCTCACGCACAAACAATATAATCAGGGTTTGATACCATTTTAGATTGTAAGTTTTGAACAATTCCAACATGCATGCTACGACTCATAAATGTTGGAATAGAAGTATAACCTTAAAACATAGACAATAAGGTGTGGAAGCCTATGTCCTCAACAACAAGTCTGCTAAACAAAAAAAAATATAGCAAACAAGCTCATATCCTAACTGACAGTTGGTCATTACTGATATTCTAAAATAGGCTTACTTGTCCATGTCAATGCGGTGCTCGCGTGAATGCAATACAGATTTTGAAGACGGTGTAAAAAACACCACTCTTCCAGAAATCTGCCAGAAAATAATTACTGCTTTTACATGGATTGAACGAGAAGGCAGGTAAGAATTTCAGCCAACTCTTTTTTTGCTCTCCCATTTTTCCAATAACAAAGCATTGTGTAACTTCAATGCAGGATAAAAGAACTTTCACAATTCGGTAAAGAAACGCTATTTACTGCAGCAACCATCCTCTCCGCCAACTCATAGGATAGGGATATGACCGTAGGAGGGAGGGAATGAGGGAGTAGTACTAAATGTGGGTATTATTGCTTTTGGTGAGGATTCTGTGTACATTAGAATGAGCAATTGCCCATTGCTTGGTATTAAAATTTCTAGCATGTGTGTTCCTTCTACACTTCTCCTAAAGCTTTAGGAGGCAGCATAATTTGCTTAGGCCTTGTTTTCAGGGTAGGTTTTAGTTCATTTCGTTTTTACATGAAAATTAAAGTTTTATAGTCCCTCCCTTCCTTTGGACTTTGGCGGCTTTTCTTTTTTGTTTGTCTCATGAACTTTGTCACTTTCCTTTTAAAGCAACGAATTTGTGGCTCTTCTTATTTTTCTCTTTTCCTCGGCACAAACCACAACCACAGAATTTTTACTTTTCTTATTGTAGACCCAAACAAAAGTAGGCAGTCCAACAGACGGAGGTAGGGGTGTAGGGGTGTACCTGATCCGGCATGGTTTTGATCGGGTCTGACATGGTTTCGACTCGGACCGGGTCCGTTTTGAGCAACTTCGGGCCTAGGAGCAGACCAGACTGCCCTAGAGCGGTTCACGGTCTTGGTTTCCAGTTTTGAGGACTGAACTGGGCGGCACTTGTTTCGGTCCCGATCAAGGTTTTTTACTTTCTCTGTCCCTTAAAACTTTGTCAACTTTCCTTTTTTGGATGTCCCACTAACTTCATCACTTTCTCTTCTAAGTAAAGAATTTGTGGTTCCGATTAATTCTCTCTTTTGCACAAAATTCAACTACACAGTTTTTACTTTATTAATCCTTGTACCGGTCAAACTTGACAGTTTTAAGGGACAGAGGTAGTATATAATGGGAATCGGGTCTTGGATTGGTACCAGAACTTAGCCCAGACCCGAAAAAATGTGGTTCGGACCCGGGCCTTGAGAATGTTTTTGGACTGGGCAGTCTAGGTCTCTAGGATGGAACTTGGGTCAATCCCTAGACGGAGGAGGGTATTAAGTGTTGAACATATGCCCTAGGACAATCATAGTTTATGATTTATTAATGGATATTTAATGTTCATTAATTAATAAAGTCACAAACTCATTTTATGTTAATTATTGTGAGTTTTCTTTCAAGACCGGTCTTGGGGCATGGGCAAAGGGGCATGCGCCCGGGGCCCATTACTCCCCTAGGGCAAATAAATTTTCCAGTTATATACATGAGGAATATTTTGGTTAGTCCGAACTGACCAGACTGCCGTAAGGCCAATCCCATCTGAACGCCTTTTGGGTTGACTTTTTTGATGAAATTTTATGAGCACGTTTTTCATGAAATGTAAAACATTCACATAAAACTTCATCAAAAATTTCCATTGGGAGTCAATTAAATAAATTCTTCAAAAACACTGCACAAACATATGCATAAAAATCCCACTGTTTTTCAACAATTTATTTAATTGTTTTAAAATTGAATTTTAAGTTGAATTTTTGAGCGAATGTGCTACACTTCATGATGAACATGTTTACAAAATTTCATCAAAAAATGTAACTCGGAAAGCCCTCAAACGGACTTGGCTGCAAAGCGGTTTCTGGTCCGTCAGAAACTCAGAACTGACCAGAATTTTATTATATATATATGTTTGTATTTTAATATATAAAAATTTAAAAATAAAATCAAACTTATAATTTTTTCATTACGTTCAATTAGGGATGGACCAAACCAGGTCGGCCCGGCCCTGAATCGGCCCGGCCCGCCACTGTGCGGGCCCGGCCCGGCCCGGTTACGGAATGGGCGGTGCGGGCTTTTACCCGGCTCGGGGGAGGCTAGCGGTTCGGGCTCGGTTCACAAAAAGGAAGGCCCGGCCCGGCCGGTTCCGGCCAACGACTATATTTTTTTTAAAAAAAAATCTTTTGGCTATCAAACAGGCCCTTAGAGCCGTTGTGATTGAACCCAAACGGCTATATAGCCGTTGGGAGCCTTCCTGGGGTCCAGGGGTGGGTTAGGGGGGTGGGGGGGGGTAGGGGTACAAAAAAACTATAAATACTCCATTTTTTCTATACAATTTTACTACACATCTTCTTCAAATATTCCTACTCTCTAATCTCTATTCTCTACTAATTTATTATTTATATATCTACTTTATACTTAAGATGGAAAATCAAGATGTCGTTATACGGTATAATTTTGATAAGCAGAAGGACCCGAAGATCGGGATGTGGTACGCAACTTGTAAATGGTGCGGGAAAAAATGTAGCATGGGGGTTTCAGGCGGATACAGGATTAGGGTTGGACTCGGGCCGGGTGGCCCGACCCGGAACCGGCCCGGGACCGGTACTGTTTCGGCCCGGCCCGAACCGGTGGCCCGGTCAGTGACCGATCCGGGTAGGCCTGACCCGGTGGGTTTCTGGTCCGGGCTCGGGTCACCCATAACAAGGCCCGGCCTGACCAGGCTCGGGCCCGGTACGGGCCAAATTTATTTATTTTTTGGTTTTTTTCATTTGTTTGGGCTCCATCGGGTTGGGCTTGATGTTTAGGAGGGGTTTGGGGGGTGGGGGTGAGGGGGGGGGTCAGGGATGGGTAGCTAAGCAAAAAAAAAAGTAACCAAACCCGAGGCCCGGCCCGGCCTGGCCCGGACCCGGTGGCTACCAGGGCTGGTCCCGGGTCCAGCTATATAGAACCGCCGGCCCGACCGGGCCTGACCCGGCCCGAGTCCAACCCTATACGGGATGGCAATGAAGCATATGAAGTCATGTGACAAAGCCAAAGGATCGGGAGGTGCGGGAAGTTCCGATTGAAGTTTGTTTTAATTTTCAAATGTAGTTCCTATTTCATTTCAAATAAATGCACTTGAAGTTTGTTTTTAATACTTGTATAAAATTATAAACTATAAATTATAAATAAAAAAATCTTTAATCGACCCGGCCTGACCCGGCGGGTGGCCCGGCCCGAACCGGACCCGTCCAACCCTTGGGCCGGTCCCAGGCCCATGTCATACAAACCGGCGGCCTGACCGGGCCTAGGCCCGGCCCGAGTCCACCCATACGTTCAATTTTTTATTCAACATCTACAAACCACAAATTTCACACTTTCTTTTGATTCATCAAGTGTACGTTAGCACATAAATGTCAATATTTTCTTCTACTTCTCTCTTGTAAACTCATGATTCATTGATAGTCTTTTTTTGCATCGATAGTATTTTGCTAATTTTTCTGTTCTCGTGTAAGTGAAAGATTAAATTAGCGTACCCAGACCTAGCTAGGATTTACAAACTTTTAATTTGTTTTAGTCTAGTGAAAACGTGAATCAAAATATGAAAATTTTACTCCATAAACGATATAACTTTCGCGTCTTTCCCTAGTTCAAAATTATGTACTATAAACAATTGTTCTACTTTTCCATTGAGCCGTTTTGGTACATGGTATTTTTGAATGTCAATTATCAAATACTTAAATATAATCTCTCTAACCGTTCTTTATTAATTCATTTGATATGTTATACTCGTATTTGAATGAAAAAATGCTTAAATATACTTAATTATAGTTTTTTATAAACAAATATAAAAATTCACACGTTGTCCTTAAGGCCTACTGGATATGTACCGCCTCGGGCCCATAAAATGTCAGGATCGGGCCTGTTTTCTTTATTAATTCAGGACATTAATAATTAGTAGACCAGTATGTGGATTAATTGATGATTATATTCCACTAGTTAATATAAAGATATCAATTTAATAACATAGATGTTTGTTATTGATCAAGTTCATTGGATAGACTCAACTTGATGGCACAATTAGGTTATATGTCATAGTGTTGTTCTCAATAATGATGATAGGTTATATTCTTATACTTGAGATAATCATGGTTACTTACATGGGGATTAATATGTATTAATGCTATTAAATGTTAGGAAAAGGGGCAAATAAGCTCACGTACTAACCAAAAACGGTCAAATAAGCCTTTATATAGGAGGCTATGTCCGATCGTCGTCATTTGGGCGGTTCTCGGTGGAATTTTTTGATGCAAATTTTTTAGCATATTATTCATTAACCCTAGTTTACTCATACCAAATTTCAGCTAAAACTTCAATCGGGAAGGCATTCAAATGAATTCTTGAAGATAACTGCGCAGTTATCTTCAAAAATTTATTTGAATGCCTTCCCAATTGAATTGTTAGCTGAAATTTGGTATGAGTAAATTAGACTTAATGAATAAGATTCACAAAAGATTTTATCAAAAACTTCCACCAGGAACTACCCCAAATGGCGACGACCGGACAGAGCCTCCTATATAAGAGCTTATTTGACCTTTTTTGGTTAGTGTGTGGGCTTATTTGCCCTTTTTTCCTAAATGTTATCTTCAAATGGGTAATTATAAAGGTGGTGGTTGTACATATTATGAACAATGTAGTGGTATGTGAATTATCAAGATAGTTTTTGTCACACTCGTATAGCGAGAGAAAGATATATATTGAGCCCCTTAGCTAGCCATGGACCGGTTTCGGGTCGGTCCGGTCCTGAGCGGGTTTTTTATTGTTGGGGGAAGGCCTGGAACCGGCCCGGGTTTCCACTGGGTCCAGGCCGGGCCAGGTCGATCTCGGAATGGTCCTTTTTTTTGCTTTTCTAATTAGCCCCCATCACCCCCCAAACCTCCCCACTACACTCAGCCCATCTAGGCAAAACAAAAAAAATGAAAAAAAAAAAGGGCCCGAATCGGGCCCGGCCGAGCCGGTTCCAAATGAAGGGCAGCCCGGAACCGCCCCGCCCTAAGTCGCCGGGCCGGTCCTAGGCCCAGAACCGGTACCCGATTCTTGGGTCGGGCCCGCACAGTAGAGAGCCGGTCCGGTTCACGGGCCGGTCGGCCTAGTACCGGTCCAACACTACCCTTAGCAAGTACGATTAATCAGCATGGCTATGCTCAAATGAAGTGTCATTTGTTCAAGATTAATCTTACTTGATAATCAAGAAATATTAATTGATGATAACAAGAATGACATAACCTAAACTTGTCTCTGATGGAGTATATGGGTCCAGACCCCATGACCCACATACTTCCACTACTACGAACAGGTCTGACAAGCCCAAGTGGCCCAAAGACCCCGGGGATGTACAGCCTCTAGCATATGGAAGACCCCCGGGGACGTACGGCCTCTAGCGTATGGAAGACCCTCGGGGACGTACGGCCTCTAGCATATGGAAGACCCTAGGACGTACGGCCTTCAGCACTACCTCCATCTGCCAGATGCTCGTCTCCCAGACCTTCATCTGCCCCACTGCCGTCAGCCAGACGCTCGTCTCCCAGAGCTAGATTTTCATACTTAGCTAATATCTTCGAATGTAATCAACCCAATAGAGGCCTTATATTGTAATGGGCCTCCCAAGCCCAAGACTGGGAGCCCAGACAATATTT